CACTCCCACGGCCATCCACTGTATCTGGTTCAGGTGGGGTTGACCCCAGGCTGGCTCCCAGAGGTAGGAATGTGACCAGGTCTTATCGGCTTATTCTAGTCCCTGGCCACAGTGATTGGTCCAAGGATGGGCTTATCTCTCAAGTCCTTCTAATGAGCCCCTTTGCGGGAACTTTGGTGGAGTTGACAGGAAAGAAGTACTCTTTCACTGGAGTTGCCAGACTGGTAGGATGTAGAGCTACTGGAGTCTGTCTTGCCACTTGGAGAGAAATGAATCCTGATGGCATTGTTTGAGCATCTGCATCTAGCCATGCCGGAAAGCACATTTGGACTTCTCAGGTTGTGAACCAATAATTTTTGTTTGCTCGAATGAGACTGTCAGACTTCTGTCACTGGCGTGGAAAAGACAGACAGGCGTCTCCCTCTCCCCATCACCCATACCTGATGCCCCAGGAGTAAACCCATTGACCTCTTATCAACTGTTAGAGTGGAAGGGGACAGTTATTGAATGGGAATTTTGACGAGCAAAGAAGATTGTCAGAAGGATTGTCAGGATGGCCTCAGCTGGGTATGGTGGACCTGGGTGGGAGGTCCCTAGGGCAAGAGAATCCTGAAAGAGTGAGGAGAATGGAAAGGGAAGATGAGAAACTAACTGAAGACCAGCCTGATTTACTTCACTGAACCTGAGAACCACAGGCTCTGTCCTTGGCCCCTGAATTGGGCAGGTCGTTTCAGAATTGCAGAACTGCCAAGTGTCAGCTTTAGGAGGAAGCTTAGAGAGCATCTAAGCCATGTCCTCATTTTACAGAGGAGGAAACTGAAGGGGAGGAACTTGTCCATCCCACAGCTACTCTGTGGAGACAGATGTATAAATATTAGAACAGAATCTGTACAATTGATAAATAAGAGTCTAGAGTTAGGCCTGGGTTTGAATCCCAGATTTACCATTCGTCCTTAGGTTTTAATTAATTTCTCTGAGTCTTAGTTTCATCATCATCAGTAAAATGGGCCTAATAATAGTACCTTAACTCTATACGTTATTAAAAGGATTTCGAAAGGCTTTTCATGTAGAGTTTAGTGCCTCAAACTAACTCCCAGGTCCAGAGAGAACCTAGAGACTAAGAACTCATCCCCTAGAGAAAGTTGCCTCTCATAGGAGATTTGAGGGAAGGAAACCTCAAAGCAGATCCTTTTTTGAAAGACAGTTTCAGGGTCCTGATTAAAGGAGGAAGGCAATGGAAGGAAGGAGACACAGTTGAGTGGGATGTGGGTCAGGGGAAAGGTGAGCAAGGAAAACAAGCACACGAAGGGGAGAAGGAGGGGTGGGAGGGAGGGTGGGATGAGAGAGACACTCCGGATATCCTGCCATCCCGGTTATAAACTAAGAGTTGGAGAGAGGGATGGATGCTCTCTGGGCGCCATGGCAGGAGGCAGGGGCGACTTGCCAAGAAAGTGGAATGTATCGTTTCTGTACATAGCATGTCTGTGTCCATCACCCTGGCCTCTCCCGGGCTTCGCTGGCAGCCCGGTGCAGTCCAGCACTGCAAGATGCCTTGCAGCCAGCCAGCCTGAGGAGCAGGTTCTGAAACCACAGCCCCCCGCCCTTGTCCTTCCCTCCCTCAGGCTGCCCCAACCTAAACAAGACAACCTGGGCAGGGGGGCCACACGCTGATGGAAAAATACACACTTGGCTGGAAAAGGAGCTTTATTTGTATGTGTTGAATTCCCCCAGCAGCCGAAGGATAAATAGCTCATTACAGCCTCTGCCCACAAGGTGGGTGGTAAAATCTGTTCTTATTTAAATTGCTTTTGGGGCGTGGTGGAGAGGGGGATTGGGGGCAGCAGGAGAGGGGAACTTGGAATCTGCAATGTTTACATGATCAGTCATGGATGTCATCTCTCTTTAATTAGGGGTTTGGAGTTGAGAAACTTTGCTCAGCTTGCTTACCCCGGGAACAGAGCAGATTAGCAAATAGGCAGTGGGCAGAGCAGCTCCTTAAGGCCATCTATGGTTGGATCGCTGTATCCATCCCCCTGCTAAGCACTCAGTGTCAGTCTGTGCCAGGCCCTGCACTGGGTGCTTTACGTGCATCATTGCATTCAAATTTCATGAGTTAAGTACCATCAATATACTCATTTTACAGAGGCAAAAACCAAAGAATAGATTGTATAGAGCACCAACGTCACACAATTGGTAAGCAGCTCTGCCAGGGCTGGAACTGGGTCTTCTTGACCAAAGACCATGTCTTTAGCCCTGCCATTTTTCCCTGGAGAGTAGAGACCTGGGCTTTTCTAATCCTCAGGCATGTCACTCCTGTTCTCTAGCCCAAGTCCTCTGTACTTAAGACAGAGATGGATGGATGACTTCTAATAATTTTCAGTTCTGGTATTTCTTTGATTCAAGGGAAAAGTCCCTGTAGCCACTATATATATCCCCAGCACTTGGAGTCAGATAATATACACATAAATAGATGAACACATTTTCAGATAGGTACAAGTGCTTTGAAGAAAATTAATTAGGGTAAAGGGCTCTAGAGCTTCTTTAGATGGGATTCTGAAATAGCTACCTTTGAGCTGAGACCATCATGGCCAATGTAGGAGGCAGAGGAACTAGCATCTATAAAAGAAGTAGGAATGTTCAAGAGATGAAAAGGAGGCCAGTGTGGCTGCAGTATGCCGTATAAGGGTAGTGGGTATATAATGAAGATGGATAGATAAAAGCAAGCAGGGGCCAGATCAGCGCAGGGTCTTAGGGGCCAGGGAAGGAGATTGGATTTTTGTTCTAATTACAAAAGGAAGCCACTTGGAGGATATTAAAGAGTGAAGCCAAATCTGATTTACATTGTCAAAAGGTTGTTGCTGCTGTGAGGAGCATGGACCGTTGAGGGTCAAGGACTGAGGCAAGGAAACAAGATAGGAGGCAGGAGCTACACTGCATATGAGATGATGGCGGCTTAAACTAGAGTGTTAGAGGTGGAGGTACGGAGAAGTAGCTGGTAGAGCCGACCAGACTTGCTAAGAGATTAGATGTGTAGGGGGTTTTGTCCAATAGGAAGTATTCCTTTCCTACAACTGTTCCCCAAGTCCATCTCTCACTTCCTGTCTGTGTTAACCCAGACCAATGAGCACATGGCATTTCCCTGGCCACAGTGATTGTTTCCAGGGTGGTCCAATCACAGGGACTTTTGTTCCATGGAAAGTAGAGCCCTCTGTCCTGCTAGATGTGAATAAGAAAGTATAAAACCAGGCCTGCTGCTGGTGGTCACCCTAGGAGGGAAAGAAACTTAGGAACAGCCTAAGAGAAAGCTGATGCTATGGCTGGCAGATGGAAAGAGACCAAGATCTTGATATTATTGACCTCTGAATTCACTAATCCAAACGTTCACCCTACCCCTGGACTTTCCATTTAGTAAGCCAATGAACTTTATTATTGCCAGTCTGACTTGGATTTCACTCACAACTGAAAGCATCCTAACTGATATATTAATATTTATATTTTCAGTTTATACTATCACCTGTCATTAGTGGATTATATATTCATATTTATTATCTTCTTTGCGTGAGTCCAAATACTATTAATACATGTGCTGTATGGCCAGCTGCTGCTGTATAAATGGTACAAGGTAATTCACAGGTAGATGAATGGAAATTGCCTACTCAGATGCATTTTCTGTGCATGGTGCCTAGCCTAGGTATAAAATCATCATTGCTACACTGGGATATGGACAGTGACAACTTGCATTTCTCTGCTGGAACAGGCCTAATATCTGCATTCCTCAAAGTCTTTCACTTTGCCTGGGCAACCTCTTCTAACTTCAACTAATTTCTGCTCAAATCTACTATCTCTGTCATTTAAACAGAATTATAAGGACTAGTCAAGTGTATTATAAAATGATAAGTAGGTTATTCACGTTTGGCACTTATTGTTCAGAGTAGTAGTTGCCATGAAATGATGCTAGGGAAAGGAAGAGATTATAACTATCCCTATTTAAATTAATCCCATGTCTGATTTTCTGATTTTCTCACCATTACACTCTCAAACACTAGCATAATACTTGGCACACAGCAGGTGTTCAATAAATTATTTGAACAAATAAAAGTTATACCATAGTAATTCTGACCAGCTATGTAAATCACAAAAACTGCAAGCTGCAAAAAAATAGAAAATTAACAAAAGGGCATATTACCTTCTTTCCACATTATTTTAAGACCTCTAAAAAGCTAGAATCCCTGAAAGCCCATGGGTAATTGAATTGTTCCTAACAGCTATTTTATGTTTATGTCAAGCATTCAGTGTCCCTAGTGATGGTGGTAAGTTGAAAAATAAAGGACAGCACCGGCCGGGCACGGTGGCTCACACCTATAATCCTAGCACTCTGGGAGGCTGAAGTGGGCGGATCGTTTGAGCTCAGGAGTTCGAGACCAGCCTGAGCAAGAGCGAGACCCTGTCTCTACTAAACATAGAAAGAAATTGGCCAAACAACTAAAAACAGAAAAAATTAGCCAGGCATGGTGGTGCATGCCTGTAGTCCCAGCTACTCGGGAGGCTGAGGCAGAAGGATCACTTGAGCCCAGGAGTTTGAGGTTGCTGTGAGCTAGGCTGACACCATGGCACTCTAGCCCAGGCAAGAGAGTGAGTGAGACTCAGTCTCAAAAACAAAAAGAAAAAGAAAGGACAGCAATTCCAAATATTTTAACATTCTGATTATATAGTTCTCTGGCCAGTTCACTCCCAGAAACACATTCAGGATAAACATACTCAACATTAAATGATTATTTATTTTTCAGGTTTAAAAGGTTTCAAAATACATATGTACAAGATAAATAAAACAGACTACACTCAGAATCACTGTAGAGCAGAAGACATAAATATACAGGGTCTTTTATAGGACACAAAAATTATAATGTCATCAAATAAAAAGAAAAACATTCAAGAAAGGTAGGAAAATTAGACCACCTTGGCAAAGGATATATTAACTAAGATGGACCAGGACAAAGCCCCTAAATATCAGGATGAAATTTCTTTTCTATGCCTCCTAGCTGTCTGGCTTTTCTTTTTTGCTTTGAGTTGTGCACTTCAGAGTCACCAGCCTCTGGCAGATTATCCAGCATGTCTTCCTCATCAGCCTAGAACAGCGTGGAGGAGTCACGGTGAAATACAACAAAGCTCACACAGATGCCAAGATGGAGCAAAATGAAGCTCTGTAACATTACTTCCAGGTACTTCTTTGCTGGAAGATTTATTTTATATATTGCATTGTGCATATGATATTCCCTCCAAAAGCATCTTCTATGTTTTAATTTTTATTTCTTTTTACAAGTAACACAATTACTACTTAATCAGAATCTGAATGTTATAACTCAGTAAGAACTAGGATGTGCTAATCTCCATGTTTCTGCAATTTGTATTTTGTTAAATGAGGAAATTCTATCAACTTAAACTGGGGAAGTTTTTCCTTTTCCCTTTGTCCATGAATGGTCCCATGAGACATGTAAGTTTCCCTCTCGCTATTTCTGAAACAAGTCCATGCAAATATAGTCCCTTCTCAGTGTTAAAAAAGACAACTTAGAAAAAAAGAAATCGACTCACCTCTTCTCTATCCCTGCTACCCCCAAGAATATAAAAAAAAATTAACCAGATGCTGCCTGCCCTCTAGTGTTGCCAACAAATGACAACATTAGGAAAAATCTACGTTGGTTGAGCTACTGTGCTATTTTGGTGAATAATTATTTAGAAGGTTGGAACAGGAGAAAAAGATCAATTAGTCATTCTACAGCACAGTACAAATGTGGCAACTCTAATAAGCATTATTTATACAGAGATTAATACATACACACTTAATGAACTGACAGTAAGTAGCAAACATCATACCCTCTATTTCTGTCTTGCATGCTTCTCTGTCCACTCCCTGGCATTCTTGAGGAAGACTGGCTTGTTATATTTAAATTCTGAGGACTAAGATGAAATCAAAGAAAAGAGTTAATGGAGAAAAAAATGATTTGCAGTGAGAAGCTACTGCTGCAGCTATCCTCACAGAGTATTAAAGGTATAGAGAAAGCAGGATATACGTTGCTGAGGAAATGCGGATACTTACTATGTCGGCCATGAGTGGGTCATCAGGGTTGGGTTCCGACATGAGCAGCTGAATAGAGGTCAACACGGTTGCGATGTTGAGGGATGGTCTCCAGGCACCCTATGCATAGACAGATAAACAGGTGCTTGTATATTATAATGTGGTACTCTAATTCAAGTTTTATAGACGAAGGAAACAGAATGCCAGAGACAACCGTTTACCCACAACTCACTTTTGGTGGCAATTTGAGAATATCTAGACAAATCCTTCCAGCAGAATCAATGTTTGGATGATAAATTGGAGTGAGAAATCGGATCTGAGGAGGTTCAAATGGATACCTATGAATGCACAGAACAGAGAATTATCATTATAATATTCCTTCCTAATACATTCTAAACAGTTTCCTGGTCACTGATATATATAAAAAAAATAATGTTGGTATTATAGAAATATCAGGAAGACTGCCTTTGGGAAGCAAATCTTCTCTCTTCCTAAATTTTTATTATGAAAAATTATAAAACAACAGAAAAGCTGACATAATAGTATTAAAAACACCCATATACCCACCAAGTGGATTCAAATCACGCCACCTTCTAAATACTTCGGCATGTATCTCAAGAATAAGGACATTCTCCTATATAACTGCAATACTATTATACTTACAGAAAAATTTAAAAATAATTCCCCAATATCATTTACTATTCAGATTTCCTCAATTGTCCCCCCTGCTGTTTTTACAGCTAGATTTTTCACAATAGGGTCCAGTTAAGATTTATATATTGCATTTGGTTATTATGTCTCTTTAGTGAGACGTGACCTTGGAAAGTTCCCAGTCTATTTTCAGAACTGATGTACCATATAATTATTAAGCTCTTCTCTCAAGATTTTAACAACTTTGGCCAGGCTCTGACCTGATGATTAGATGTCTACATTTCAATAGTTAGATATTCATTTCTTCCCTTCCCCATTCTGTACAAAACTACAACAACTATAACTTACCTGATGAGAGACTTAAAGGAGACTTTGATTAAAAGGGGCCTTAACATTGAGAAAAGTAGAATGGTGGTTGCCAGGGGGTGGGAGCAGGGAAAAATGAGGAGTTATTGTTTAATGGGTGTGAAGTTTCTGTTCGGGAAGATGAAAAGTTCTGGAGATAGATGGTAGTCATGGTTACATAATCACATGAATGTATTTAATGCCACCAAACTGTAAACTTAAAAATAGTTAGAATGGTCAATTTTCTATTTTACCACAATTTAAAAAATGGAGGGCCTTTGATGTGATCTAGTCCATTATTTTGGAGAAGAAAACTGAACGCCAGAGAGGTGAAATAACTTAACTTGCCTGAGGTCACATTAAGTCATGATAAGACTGGAATTAAAACCCAGGTCCCGGCTGGGCACAGTGGCTCACGCCTGTAATCCTAGCACTCTGGGACGCCAAGGCAGGGAAGGATAGCCTGAGGTCAGGAGTTCAAGACCAGCCTGAGCAAGAGCAAGACCCCATCTCTACCAAAAATAGAAAAATTAGCATACTTGTAGTCCCAGCTACTTGGGAGGCTGAGGCAAGAGGATCGCTTGAGCCCAGGAGTTTGAGGTTGCTGTGAGCTATGATGACACCACTGCAAGTCTAGCCTGAGTGACAGAGCAAAAAAAACCAAACCGAAACAAAAACAAACATACAAAACAAACGAACAAAAAAAAAACCCTAGGTCGTTTAACCCCTACATTTAATGCTCTTATCTTCTACATTGCTCTGTCTTCTAATAACTGCATTTTACTCTGCAGATTGAGAATCTAATTCATACTAACCTCTCAGGAATGGCAACTTCCAGCTTGAAAACACCTTTTTCATAAGGTGTGTTGGCCCCACCTAATATTTCTTATAAGAGAAAAAAAAGGAGAGAAAAAATAAAGAGAATCAGATGATTTGAATTACGACACCATATGGGTCTAATGAGGTCTATGGTTCTAATAGAGAAACTAAGTCTAGGACAATAATTCTCTCTCAGGGCTTTAACAAGTACTCATGCAATACACCACGATGCTGATGGACCCGAAAAGTTGATGGTGTCAAACAAAGGACATACAGAAGATCTAAAACAGAAGTTGCGAAATGTTGGCCACAAGACCAAATACAACATACAGATTTCTTTTGTTTGCACTGCAGTATTCTAATCATGTATGTTTCCTATCCAGCCTCACAGATATCTGAGATGGTAATCTTTGGTCTAAACACTGCTTCACTGCTTTAAATCTTGCCTATAAATCAGCAAAAGGTATGATAAAAAGCCAAAGAAACAAGAAATGTCAAACAAACCTTTTATGAATGTAAACAAATAAGGGTAGAAAGATGGTAGGACACTTTGACCTTACAATTGCTACCTACTTTAGAAGAATATACCAATGTTTGCAGTTCAGCGCAACCTTCAATAGGGCCATGACTCTCACGGGCATGATATGATACCTACGAGCTCGCAGTTCATTCATTTGGTCTTTATCCTGCCAGCATGTGATGCCTGGGGGTGGCTCTGTGGCTAACATGTGCAGCTCTCTCTTCAGCCGTGAAGCTCTCTGCATGATACCCAAGGAAGAGGAACCACGGTTCACTGCTCCACACTAAGATGCACTGGCGGAGAAAAGAAGTAATCATGGAACAGTCAGCAATAGTGACTGTGGAGTTTTCAGTACGCAGCTTCAATTTAGTGAAGAGCAGATTCCCCTTATTAATCTCTATTCTGACAAGCAAATCTGAGTTTTTCCCGTCTCCTTCTTGTGAGCATTTTATCTACTCAAGCAAATAAAATTTTAAAGTAAATATTAAAAATGTGAGAAGTTCTACAAAACACAAAAATGCTGCAGGTTTTAAGTTAATGTGTGGTGTTTCCATTGATAAATTATAAACTCGTGAGGCCAGGGCCTGGGTCTGATTTTGCTCACCACCGTATCCTCAGCATGCCTCCCATAGCAAGGGGCTTGACGAATAATAGCTGTGTGAGGAAATCTACACGAGCTTTGTGCAAGAATGATACAGAGACAGTCAATACTCCGAGATATTTATAAGCCAATGTTAAACGTGAGGTTCTCTCCATGTATTATGGATTCCACACCCTCCAAAGTCTTTAGGGATGACGCTCCATCAATTATTCCGTCTTTCTCTAGTATTCCCAATCTTCCCTTTTTATTAATCAACACTCAAAGTCTCTCTCATCTAAAACAGACACACACATATCCACTCAACACCCTTCTCAACTCTAGTTCTCTAACTACTAACCAAAGGATACCAATTCTTCAATATGTGTTATAAATACCGTCCCCCAATTTGTTACTTGTCTTTCTACTTTATTCATGGTGTCTCTTGATGAACACACACGCTCTTATTGTAATCAATTTTTAAATTTTTTCCTTTACATTTGTACTTTCTGTATATCAAATTTTTCCTTATCCCCAAATTTAGAGATATTTTCCTCCATATTCTTCAAATTATTTTCTAGTTTTACTTTTCACATTTAAACCTTTAAGCCATTAGTAATTGATTTTTGTATATAGTGAATAAGGTAGGGGGTCTTACTTTAATTTTTTTCCCACATGAATAACCAATTGTCCTAGCACCACTTATTGAAAAAGTCCATCCTTGCCCTGATATTACCATAAGTTAAATTTCCATAGATGTGTGGATTTGTTCAAGGACTCTTACATTTGTTCCACTGGTCACCCAAATTATTTTTGAACCAATGTCCCATTGTTATTTTTCATTATTTATTTAAATTTTTTTCTAGTAGATCCGGGTGCAGACCATAAAAATAAATAAATAAATTTTTTCTGGTTTTATTGAGGCATAACTGGCAAATAAAAAAATGTGTATTTTTTTCACCAAACTGATGCTAAAAAATAACAAAAAAATAAAACATAAAAAGTGTATATATTCGAGGTGTACAACATGATGTTTTACTATAGCTTATCCATCTGTTTTTTTTCTTCAGGAATGTCTTGGTTACTCTTGGCCCTTTATTTTTCCATATAAATGTTAGAAACAGTTCTTAAAAGTCCACAAATATATACATATATATGTACATATGAAATTACAATCCAAATCACAAAAGGGTTTCATGATTAAGATTATAATTTCATTGACTCTATAGATCAATTTGGGGAGAACTGATGTCTGTATGATATTGAGTCCTAAGATCCATGAACAGGATCTGTTTAACTCATTTCTGATGCTTTCCAAAGGTTTTATAATTTTCTTTATAAAACCTTACCTAATTTTTGTTAGATTTATTCCTAAGTACTTTATATTTTAGTTACATTTTCAAAAACACTATTTTCTATCTATTTCTTACTGGTACATGTAAATATAATTGATCTTTAATCAAAACCTTAATAATGCTAAAAACTAATCTATTTGGGGTGGGGTGCTGGGAGTAGTAATTTACATAGCCAATCATATTATGCACATATAATCAGTTTATTCCTTCTCTCCTAATCTTTTCCTCCCTTCTATTCTGGCAATAACTTCTAGAACAATGTTGAAGAGCTGACACCTGGTATTCTTGTCTGATTTCTAACCTTAAAGGGAAAGCTTTCAACGCTATGCTTATCATTAAGATTGGCCTATAATTCTCCTTTCTAATGCTGTCCTTAACAAGTATCAAGGTTATGCTAGCCTCCTAAAATGAGTTAGGGAGTGCTGTCTCTTTTTTACATATTGCAGATTAGTCTGGGAGATAACCTGTTCCTAAGCTGCCTGGCAGAACTCCACCTGGTCCTGGTGTTTTCATTTTGAGAAAATTTTTAACGACAAATCTCATTTCTTTAAATGTTATAGTATTATTCAAGTTTTTTTCATTTCTTCTTGAGTAAATTTTGGCAAGTTTGGCCAGGTGTGGTGGCTCATGCCTGTAATCCTAGCACTCTGGGAGGCCGAGGCGGGAGGATTGCTTGAGGTCAGGAGTTCGAGACCAGCCTGAGTAAGAGCAAGACCCCCATCTCCACTAAAATAGAAAATATTAGCCAGAGTGGTGGTGAGCGCCTGTAGTCCCTGAGTAGTAGCCTAGTCCCAGCTACTCAGGAGGCTGAAGCAAGAGGATTGCTTGAGCCCAGGAGTTTTAGGTTGCTGTGAGCTAGGCTGACACCACACCACTCTAGCCTGGGTGAGTTTTAGGTTGCTGTGAGCTAGGCTGATGCCACACCATTCTAGCCTGGGCAACAGAGCAAGACTCTGTCTCAAAAATAAATAAATAAAAAAACAAATAAAAAGTGACCTTTTTTCACAACATCCAACTTGATCTCTCACTGTTTATTCAAAAACATTTATTAAGCCAGGCACTCACCTAATCAAAAAGAAGTAAAATAAGAAATTTGTCCTCAAAGAACTTTCTGTCTAATGGAAGAAGACAAGTTATTATATTTTATTATTACAGTATTATAAGAAGCTATTATAAGTAATAATAAGCTATAGTATTAAAATTATTATAATATAGTATATTAAGGCAAGTTATTATGGTGTCATGGATTTTTGACATTTAATAGGGCTCTACCTTGAGATCTTTTTGAATCTCCAAATTTATTATAGCATTTATTTTTTGCTTAAAAAATACCATAAAATATAATTTGGGAATATGACCTGTTCAGATATTTAATGTTGCGAGCACATTGAGGATCTAATAAGTGCAAGATTTGAAGTCATTTATGTAGTTATATAGCCTACCATTTTTTACTTAAGTTTATCTTTCAAAAATAGTTTCTATTATTGCTGAATAATTATTCCATTTATCTTCTTAATTTTTGCTTAGAATTCTAAGTTTACAGTTCTCTTTTTCTTTCTTTTCTTTTTTTTTTCTTTTTTTTGAGACAGAGTCTCACTCTGTTGCCTGGGCTAGAGTGCCATGGCATCACCTAGCTCACAGCAACCTCAAACTCCTGGGCTCAAGCAATCCTCCTGCCTCAGCCTCCCGAGTAGCTGGGACTACAGGCGAGAGCCACCATACCGAGGTAGTTTTTCTATTTTTAGTAGAGATGGGGTCTCAGTGTTGCTCAGGCTGGTCTCGAACTCCTGAGCTCAAATGATCCTCCTGCCTCAGCCTCCCAGAGTGCTAGGATTACAGGCGTGAGCCTCCACGCCACCATGCCTGGCCAGATCTTTACTACTTTTTCAGTAAGCAGATACTGGGAATCAATTACCGTCTGCTTTCCCTACGTATGGATTCCGAATTCATGGATTCAATCAACAGCAGTTTGAAAATATTAAAAAAAAAATTGCATCTGTACCAAACACATACTGTAACAGACTTTTTTTCATCATTATTCCCTAAACAGTGTGACAACTATTTACACAGCATTTATACTGTATTAGGAATTATAAGTAATTAGAGATTTTCAGGCTCAAAAGACATCAGTAACTGCCTACTTTCTGGGCATAAAGGTTCTTTACAATCTAACCCCAACCCTCATAACCAGTAACTACTCCCCACAAACTTATGCTTCAGCCACACTGACCCATTTAATGTGTAGATATGCACAAGTTAAATTACAACTTCTTCCTCTTCTCCAGGAATGCATCCTAATCCTTTACACCTTTGCAACAACACCCTCTGTGCTTCCACATCAATTTGCATCGTGTTGTAATTCATCTCTGATAGCTTCTCGTCTTTGGGGCAAATTCCTTGAGAGCAGTCTCTAGGTTTTTCTTTTTTCTAATCCAGTCCTGTAGTAAGTTTGAGTAATTAACGAATGAAACGTGGGTTTGGATCCGATTTGTTGAAGACAAAAGAACAGCCTGTGTGCATCCCGCTGCGAGTACAGGACACTTATACCTTCTCCACCCACGGTGGCAAATTTCCCCCCGTTGTGGCAAGACGGCGGCTCCGGGAGCTCGGCCACGATTTCACCGCAAAGGTACCGTTAGAGCCTCCGCTCAACGGCGGCTTTTCTGAGATTCCCCTACCAGAGCCCTCGTTAGGCGGAAACAGGACTCCTTCCCTGCAAGGCCCACAGTGACCCTCCGCTGCCGGGTACGTGTCCCTTCAGGTTGGGAACCGGTAAACTTTGCTTTCTTACCTGCGTGGACTCAACTCAGCGCAGAAGCGCGGGGATGCACTGAGGACTCGCGCCTGCGCAAACCCGGACGGTTGGCGTGGCTCCGCCTCCTGCTCTACAAGGATTCTGATTGGCCCACAGCAGTCCCGGGCGAGGGACTTAGCCGTCTATTGGCCAGAGCTCTAAACCTACTTTCACTCACGCCGCATTCAAATTAGAGCGCGCGCCGGACGTCGCCTTTCAACTCCGTGTACCCGGCGGCTGGGAGCTGTCATGGCTGCACTACCTGGTGTGACCCCTGTGGTTTCAAATTCGGTGTCAAGGTCATCTGTTGGGCAGAACAGGGAAGGAGCTGGAAAATCACCTCCTAGGAAGAACAAGGAAAGGAACCGGAAATAGTTAATCTTGAGAAGGGAATAGGAGATAGCTATGTCCAATTATTTTAAATATTTTTCACATTGTTAACTCTTTGGGGCACAATATCGACATGGAAGATTTTTCGACTTCAGAGGACACATCTAAGACCAATGAATGAGAGTTTAAGAGATATAAAATTTAGCTCAATAAAGCATTCTATTAATTAGAACTCCAAAGAACAAAGTAGGTAAGCTTGGGAGGTAGTGAATTCCTTCATCACTGGAAGTGTTCAAGTGGAAGTTAAGTAATCATTTGTCAGGGATAGTGCCCAAGGGATTCTTGCATTGGGTGGAAGTTTGAAATAGATGACTTTTAAGCCATCTTGCAACTCTGAAAGTATGGTACTTTCCGACCAAGGAAGTACCTGTTTATAGCTGAGCCAAGCTTGACTTCTCAGAGCTGCCTCTGCCAGAGGTGAATGCTCCGTGAGAGCTAAAGTATGGCTCAGACCTGACTTGAAAGGAAAGGGCTGGAACTTGACTAGCCTCTGGGAATAGCTGTGGGTGGAAAAAAAACAACCCTCGTGTCACTGCTCTCAGCTCATTGTGTAGCTTTGGAACAGTGGTGGCATAGGAGTAATGATCAATCTCCTTCTAAACTTGTAGAGCAATATTGGCCGCTGCAGTGATTTCTACATTAGACCAAATTGGTGTTAAGAAGCAACTGGTTCCCCGTAAGTATTGCATGGTATGTTTTCTCTCCCCAGGAGACCCACACGTTCACTAGGATTCTGTGATTCTACCCTGGGGATCCTCACCTTAGTTGAAGGAATAAACCAACTAAAGTAGCTAATCAATTACTATGAAAATTACTATGAAATAAACACAATGAGGCCTGGCGTGGTGGCTCACGCCTATAATCTAGCACTCTGGGAGGCTGAGGTGGGAGAATCACTTGAGGTTAGGAGTTTGAGACCAGCGTGAGCAACACTGAGACCCCATGTCTACAAAAGTAAAAAAATTAGCCAGGCATGGTGGCAGGTGCCTGTAGTCCCAACTACTCAAGAGGCTGAGGCAGAGGATGGCTTGAGCCCAGGAGTTTGAGGTTGCTGTGAGCTATGGTGATACCACTGCACTCTAGCTTAGGAGACAGAGCGAGACCTTGTCTCAGAAAAAAGCAAGAACTATATTGAGTCTGGTGGAAAGGATAGATGGCATGATAAAACAAATAAACAAGTAAATACCTATAGTTTTGGCAACAGAAAGGAAAGGAGGAAGTCAGGGAAAGAAAAGGAAAGAAAAGGAGTTTGGAAGGGAAAAGAAAGAAAGGAGGGGAAGAAAGGAGGGAGGGGGGGAGGAAGAAAAGAAATAAAGGGAAAGAAAAAAGAGAAAGAACCCCTTGCACTAAGTGTACAGTTTCCATTTGTCCACCAGAGGGCGACATGTTAACTGGTGGGAATAGAGGCCAAGCTAAAAGATGTTCATAAACTGTCCACAGGTGTCATTGCTTTTAAAAATGGAATATTCTAATATAATCAGTTTTAAAGATGTAGCTATGGAAATTATTATTTTATGAGTTTCTTCAATTT